ATTAGAGAAAACAATAGTTGTCTTGAGGATAGGAGCCTGGCACGCAGCATACATTGTCAGTAATGATCGTCTGAGCATCATCTGGTGACATTCTTTATGCTGATTCTCTTAGTGTCAGATTCTTTTACTGGGTTTTTTATTCAATCCTCCAAGCCATAATGTCTTGTAGAGTGATTTCGCTACTCTGGTATCCTTTCTGCAATTTTCTGGACAACAAATTATTTCCACATCTCACTATAGGTATAATTGCAATGTTTGTTAATTTCCTCTCCCTCAAATACATACGTGCAAAGGTAATTATGTATTTCTTTCCTGTAAAATAGCTAATATTTTGGGGGGAGAAAGAACAGAATCCATTACTAGGAGTTAAGGAACTGTCAGTAGTTCATCCTCAAAATATTTTGGCAAGGCTGAAGGGCTCTATGTTTTTTGGCAGATATTGGCACCAAATGAGCCCCCTGGCACATGGTGAGCAACCTGTGGCCCACACGCATCTCCCAGACTCCAAAGGAGCTGATTTCTGCAATGAGATTTCTCCTCCTCCTCCTCTACCAGCACCAGCACCAAAATAATGACAGCACTGGGTATATTCAGACTGAAGTAGGCATAACATAACTATTTTGAGATTTTAAAAACAGCATGCATCTGGCTTTGGAAGCCTGCTGTTTTTAAAAGGCCATGCCCTACTCTATCAACACCTGACCTTGCAGAGCGGAGAGAATGGGGTCTGTCTTGAGAATTCCCCAGCTTGACACTCTTGTAGCACCCCCAGTGGTGTGCCTATAGCTAGAATGTAATCTGCAAGCTTGAGCCAATGTGTCCTTGAACTTCAACTTTTGTAAAAATGTTGTTTAAGTTTGAAGCCCTAAATTTATACTTTTCCTTGCTCGTTTCATTACAAATCAGTGATGCCATGCCCAAGAAAATAATCCCTAATTACAAAACTTAAAGATCTGAACGCAAGGGAGATGCAGTGACATAGCACTTATATGTTATGACACCTATGGCTCTCTTTGTTCTACTTCAATATATTTACCTTTTATTTTCTAATTCTGAAATATTTTCTGTTGAGAGTATGTCATTTTAAAGACCCATGAACTAAATTATCTTTATATAGTTTAGCTTTATAGATAGATATAGATATAGATATACAGTGGTACCTCGGGATACGAACGCCTCTACTAACGAACATTTCAGGTTACGACCAGCTTCAGCAGGGAAAATTTACCTCAGGTTACGAACT